TCTCCGTATTTCAAACATTTTACCCGAGACCTGCATGAATCCGACGGATTACTTTATATGGACGGTAAACTTGTTATCCCATTTACTCTACGAAACGCAATGATGAAGAACTTACACGAAACTCACCCGGGTCAATTTGGAATGAAATACTTGGCTCAATACATCTGGTGGCCTCATATTAACAGGCAAATCTACTTCCACGGAAAAAATTGTTCAGAATGTACATCGGCGGGTAAGAATTTGAAAACTGTCATTCCTAAGTCACAAATTAGTGAACTTCCTCCACTATCGCAACCGAATGAAGAACTAAATTTAGATTTCGCGGGTCCTTTGGATTCTTACTGGGGGTCAAAGAAATACATTTTACTCTGTATTGACAGATTTTCTAAATTCCCGTCGGCAAAAATTACATCGTCCACTTCTTCAAAAACAGTCATAGAATTTTCACAAGAATACATATTCTTACACGGGATACCTTATTCTATAAGGGTAGATCACGCTACTTGCTTCACTTGTCAAGACTTCAAATCATTCTGCGATTCCAACAACATCAAAATAATCTTTTGTACAGTAGGCGACCACCGTTCCAACGGATTGGTCGAAAAATTAGTACACACCGTGAAAATTAAACTACTGGCTATTTCAAAAGAACATGATAAAAGCACTCTACAGAATGCCGTTTCAAAAATCATCTGGAATTTACGTTCTTCTTATCAATCAAAAATTAAATGTTCACCCTTCGAGATACACTATAACAGAAAACCAAATACCATTTGGAAACAATTAGCATCCGGTAAACCCTCCTTTGGAATTTTAGACAAAGGGAAATCTATACTGTCTAAGGAACGAGCTAAGGATTGGAATGCAGATGACAGACTAGAGGACGGCTACAAGGACGACTTGATAGCCAAGAAAAACCAGAACCCGACCGAAAAAGGCTATGACACGGACTATGCTTCTTCCTCGAAAATCATCGCCAATAGACTACCAATCAAAAGTCCATTCAAAAGTAAAATCCTTCGGAAATCCAACGGCAATATAAATCGAGACTGTTTCTATAAGGAAATAAATAAAAGAATTATAAATTCTTCTACTTCGACTGTAAAGTTATCCGACGGAAAAATAATTCGAAAACCCGATATTGCGATTCCGATTTATACCTCAAACAAAATCAGACCTTTTAAAGGAAACATTTCATTCCCGTATTTTCCTAATGCTAATGTTGAAGTAGGTCAGAAACAGAAAGGACCATCACGGAAACCAAGATCAAGAAAGCCAACCAGAAGAACGGCAAGACAGTTGAACCCGACCACTTCAGACAACCTAACTAGGACATACGTATCAGGGTCTTCACACAAACATACCAGAAGACAAACACATCACGCAAAGAAGTCTACAACACCCCCAGGTTACTTCGCTTTGGATGAATCCATGATAATTCCTTCGGATATTTCGGACACTAGCGAATGGGAATGGATAGCGGGCGGTTTTCCTTGTAGAGACGTAGCCAGGGAACGCCTTATTTCAGACCTAAATACACCTCATGTCTCAATTAAAAATAATCATAATTACGCTATAACACGTCCCGAAATAAAATCTGAGGTTTTAGAAAACTACATCGACCCTAACAGCGAACAACCTAGAGAACAACCTTATGAGTGTCCAATAAGCATAATACCCGCCGGCAGAACACCTAGTACAGAGGAACAGAAAACGGTGACCCAGGGAGGGGACAACGACAATTCGGAGCATCAAAACGGACAAGATGAGTGTAATCCAACGGACAACAACTCGGTTACAGACTTCCCAGTCTACGAGATTAACGACTCATCCGACGAGTGCACTGTACTTACCGATCCTACTACTAAATCCGGTAAAATTACCCCTACCGTCCGTCGTTCTGGTAGAAATGTAGGCCCACCAAAATTTTATGGCAAACGTTATTTTATTGACGCAGTAGATAACATACAAGAAACATCCGGTTCGGCGACCGATCCAATCGTGATTGAAATTGAAGAACCACATACGTCAGACAATAAGACGACTCCGGCGGAGCTAATCGTTCTTGACTCAAGTTCATCATCTTCGAACCAAATATCAACCTCATCAACGGACGAATCACTAAGGATGGAACTGGAAAATTTTGGGGATCATTCTGATCTAGATAGTGAACTTTTCAACAAGGAACTCGAAAACTTTTTAAACGATTATAAATCTTTGTAAACAATTTGTTATACATATCCCAGTCACTTGTCATTTCAAAGAGCTCATACTACCCTATAATCGGTGCTAACCTCAGAGATCAAAACGTTCTTCAGTAATTTCGGATACGCTACCAAAAGGATAAGCGATCCTTTGGATAAACCGTCAGTAAAAGGAAAACAAAAGAAATTGGTGCTCTAAATTTCCCTAATTCGACCTGCTTTTAGTTGGTATAACTCAAACCAGTTATTTCCACCCATAAAACTTGGTGATAAATTTTTTTTTTTCATCTCGAATTCTTTAAACCCAGCTCATATCCGTCGGAATCCGGATAATTAATTCACAATTCTAGTTTTGAGTTTAATCATATAGTGGCGCTTCTGTTTAATGTCATCTCCTTATTTATGGCGCTTGATTTCCTCTCTTTCCTAGTCTTTAAAGGAAAAACTTACGGCAATCTGGCAGTTGGTGTATCTAAAAGCATTACTTCACACACAAAACTCGACGACATCTACTCCATACTTCAATTTTTTTTCAAAATTCATCTCATATCCGTCGGAATCCGGATAATTAATTCTCAGTTAGTTTTCGAATTCAACCACTTAGTGGCGCTCCAGTTAATGTCAATTCCTTATTACAGCGCTTAATTTCTTTCTTTCCTAGTCCTAAAGGGGGAGAAAGGAGTCAGACTTAGTTAGTTATGGTGCTTATTTTACTCGTAATTTAAAAAATTTTTCCTGCTTAGGGGAATGTTGTGATTTACATCATGTTTTGCAATTACTGCAAAACATATTAGTTTATTTAACTGGTCACTTTATTATGACTTTCATTGGTCATTCTCTCCGGCGGAGAGAATGATCTCTCATTGTTTTAATGTTTTAACTTACCGACTAATTCATCTTAATTCCATATTCTTTTTATAGTTTTAACTTAGAATTAGCTACAACAAAGTAACATTTTATCAGGCGCAAATTTTTTTTGGCAAAACAAGGTCCTTGTAATATTTTCCGATAGTTCGGAAAATCAAATTGATCGACCACAAAAATATCCGCAAAAGTTTCAAATTTTTTCGAAAAACCGCCCCCATTGCTCTAAAAAAAGTTCTGTGCACGCCACTGGGCAATTTAAAACTTTTTTGCAATTTCACTTCATCAATTTGATGTTACCATTCTGACCGCGCTGTCGACTATTTCCCTATCCTCCTGATATCGTTCTCATCGATTCCATCTTAATTTGTACCGCTGATGCAAAGTTCCCGGGTTTTGTCGTTAGCCCTCCAAGAACAACCGAAACTGTTCTATGGTCTCTTTTTGTCACTGTTTCCGCAATCGTAGCTGGTAATAGTCCCAAATAAACTCTAAACATAGATTTACTCAATTTCTAAATCCCAAATAGACTCTAAACGTAGATTTACTTAATTTCTAAATCCCAAATAAACTCTAAACATAGATCTACTCAATTTATAAACTATGTTCTATGCAAAGTTTCAGCATAAACACGAATTTCTGAACTAAGTTTTGAAAAAACTCGAAAACTTTCAGTTATACTTGTTCCATTTTATAAACAACACATTTAAAAAATTATACCATACCGTGGAGCCTCCTCAGTCTGAACATGCTGACTTATGCAACCACAATCAAGACTGGTTTTCGGCCCCCACAGTCTGTTTGGGTTTTTTCGTCTCCATGGTCCAAAGAGTATTTCGCCCTTTGTCTGAGTTCCGAGGGTCAAACAAGCTTTCTTCAACTGCATGATTCAGTTTTCACGGTCTGAAAGTACCAAGTTTTTGTCCCGATGATCAGAAAATACCAAACTTTTCTAGCGATCTCGAAACGGTGGTCTGTACGACGGCAGAGATTTATTGGCATTCAACCTTTTCAAATATAACTAATTTAAGTGTTCCAGGAAATCAAAGCGGCGCATTATGATTGCGAGGACATGATTTAGGCAAAGGTTTCGAAAAATACTGCGTCGTATTAATTACAAGCCAATATTATCGAGTCAATATTGTCGCCATCAAAAAAATGCCAGTCATACAATTTCCATATATGGAAACTGTATGGTTAACATTTTCTCCATACACATGTATGGAATTGTATGATAATGATTTTTGTTGTATGGAATTGTATGATAAGCATTTTCGGTGTATGGAGGTCAACCCGGGGTGCTAATTAGTGTCATATTTAACAGTCCCAAAGAGATATCGTCTCCATTTTCGGTCACCTAAATCGTATAATTGGTTCATTCTGCTAAATTTCGCATTTCTTCAACTACATGAGCTATAGAATAGCTGGGATGTTTTGTCAATTATTTATTTCGTTTCATGCACGATCGCGTTTTGGGTTCTATTATTCAAGATTTGTTCGAATCTCTATCTGATAGACAAGTTTTTGCTCTGTTTATCATTTTTATTGTAAATTTAAAAAGCGCGAGCGACAACCCACTTTACGATGCTCCAGAATATGTATGGCATGGCACAAAATATAATCGTCGAATGTGATGTTTTTTTAATTTAGTTTTGACTTTCGAAATTTTTTTCCAGATGTTCTTGAAACCAGGCCATACTGGAAACTTACTAAGGACTCAATTTAATTTTGACATCAAAGAATGTTCGGCAGTAAAATTGACAAAAAGGGCCCTTTAGCACCGGTTGAAACACTTTTTTTTTAAATTGATGTATTTCTCATATCATAGTTAGTGTCAAGTGCCATAGTCAAAAGTTTTTGACAGTTATGAAGAGGTGCTTCTTTCAAAAAACAGCAGGATATACATTATAAATAACACAACCGCCTCTCCTTTTTAGTAAAATTTTGGTTCCCTCTAAAAAAATTGTTGATAAAAAAGTGTTAACAAGTATCGTTTCAAAGAATAGGGAGAGATGTTTTTCTTTCTACTCGCAGTTACACTAGCAAGTGTAGCAGCTGTGTATGACAATAATAATGCCATTTGTCAGGAATGGAAAAAAGCTTACACACCGCCAGGTAATCATTAAATTTTTCCCCGAACAACTTCTTTTTCCCTGATTTGTTTTTCTTTTCACTCCCTAATTTAGCTTTTAACAAAAAAAGGGTTCGATAGAGAGGTAGCCTAGCCGAAAAGGTCAATAAAATCAATTTGCATCTGTGAAAATAGGTCAAAACTCGAAAGTCAATTCTCGATACACCAAATTAGGACGTTAAATTGGGGTATTAATTTTATTGATGATTGCTACGAAACATCCTTATCAGTAACAAAGTACATGCTGACACTTGATCCATACTATCTTGAATTAGTTTTTAGCAGACATCAATCAATCGGTGTTTTCAAGTTCGGTTTTCATAAAAATGGTTAATCCCAAGACATTCTGTGAAGCTGGTATCCAATATCAGAACTGCAAGTGCTTTGCGCGAAAATCATTAGTCAGCTCATCTAAAATGACGGGTCATCTTTCGGCCATCATTGCAATAAATTTAAGTGGGAGAGAATCCATGTGGGTTCAGGCTGTCTTTTTTGGCTGATGTCCTGACTGTTTTCCAGCACCCACCAATGCATGTGTGGCGCCCGGATCCAAAGGCAAGTGTGAGCAGTGCATGAAAGATTCTGACTGCGAGAGTGGTCGTTACTGCAATGGTGCATGGAAGAAGTGCATCAAAAGCGGTGACTCATGCTATGGCCCTTATGCTGGATGTTCGCAGAGATGCTCGGATCAGGAAAACCCAACGCTCTGTCCCTCATGCAGGTATGTATATAAATGTATTTAACACTCAATATCAGCTCGTTTCCCAATTTCCACATCCCTCTAGTAAAATTGCAATATAAAATTGTTCATAAGGAAATTTGGATGACAGAGTTTTTGCTAAATGTTGACCAACAAATTGCGCTTTTTCGCCCCCCCCCCCCTTTCAACATTAGTATGTATTGACGCCAAAGGCGCTTTTTCAAAAAAAAAATTTAAAGTCGGTGAGACAAAAATGAACGTTTCAAAATAGTACCAAAGGGGCACCTTTTGGGTCGTCAGGGATTCAAATCCCTGAGGGTTGGGGGAGGGACGTCTGCTTTCTAAATCCGCTGACATCGGTAAGCTCTTTTTCATTTTAAAATATTTTATAGACTCAGCTCTTTTCCACTATCTCCGATTGATTTAAATTACGTTTGACCATCCAATTTTTTGCTCATTTTTGTGATAAAACCGCTGGTTTTTATCGCTTTCTTTCAAAAGAAAGTACTTTAATTCTCTGATACACCAGTTTTAAAAGATCTGTACAAAGTTATTAATTGTCAATTTATGTCGTAACCTGTTTTTCAGCCATGCTGATTTTCCCAATAACTGGGTCTCATGCAACAACGACCCGAACACTTTCCAGTACTACGGGTGGGATATGGATGTTCCCGCCATAGTCTACTCTAGAGAAGAGACATCATCAGGAGCCCTGGCCGAGACTGATGATTTTTCCCAGGGTGCCATCTGCAATCATAACCGACTTAGAGCAGCGGGAGGGTTGGCGCCTCTGACTTGGGACCCGTGTTTGGGTTTGTAATTTTTAATGTTCAGCAGCCGCTTGTCTAACGCAGACGCGGAGGTTAATGACTTGAGTTTAAAATAATCTTGATACTGTTCTCAATGGAAACCAAATAGCCTGTTCATAATTAGCATGGCACGGCAACTCGCAACAAGTTTGTGTGAGCTGTTTTTATTTAAAATTGTCGCGTTATGTCCTAGTGTTACATTTTAAATCATTTAAATAAGCTATTTTTTTGCAAGGAATAGGAACTTTGATCTAACTAAACTAGGCTTAAAATGAATAAGAAAGCCAAGAATAGAATTCAATTTAAAACCTGTGTTATTTTTAACTAAATATAATAACGCTGGACTGGCTCACTTTGAAAGAGTTCACTAAAAATAAATCGAGGTCAGACAGGATCGATTAAAAAAAAGTAATTAAGGATGACAAAAACAACACTTCGCTTAACTTGGAAAAACTAAATAGTACATTTATAAATTGCACAAGTTAGAACAGTTTGAGGAAAAATTAAAATACCTACAACCGATCTAATGAAATTCTAAAGTAAGTAAAATCACCAAAATTTCAAAGCAAAATTAGGAGGTATCGACTGAAACTAAATTTTCCGACAAAACTGGCGGATTTTTAAAAATGAATTACTTGAAGCTAAATGGGATCGCCAGTTTGACTCAAATCAGCTATCAGTGGCGTAAACAGCTTGATAAAAAATTGCTCTGAATCGTCGTGAGTTAGGACTTGAGTGTAACTCATAGAGTAATTTCGGATAGGGTACACCGTCTGCTCGTCACGCTATCTTATTTTCGGCCGGATAGATTCGTGCAACTTCTTAGTCTAATACCGATCCTAATCTTACTCTTATACTATCTAGTCTCAGGTTGTTTAACTAGTCTCTGCTAGGCTCAATAGATCTAGGGTATACTGGTTTATTGCGGCTGCTGAAGTGCTCGGGAGAGTCCAACTAATTTCTAAGTTAAATTCAAATCTCTCTGGTGCTGAAATTACAAGTAACTTCAGCACTTACAAATAAGTGGGTTGTTAGTTAGATGGATCATGATTGGTTAATATTAAATACTTTACATTGGTAAAACATTTAATTTATCCAATCATAAAATATAGTTTAGATCAGGTTCCACCCATCCGGGTTTTACAGAGTTTTTTAGAACAGTTCTTCTGTAGTTCAAGGATGGATGATGGACGTTGGTATTTGGCGAACATTATTTTTCTTTTGTTTCCTTTTTGTTAAGGAAGTTCCAGGGATCTGGAATTGAGGACACAAGACGTTGTGTTCTTCTTGTGACAACGACTGAGTCTCTGCAACAGCATCAATTCTGGTTTCAGAATGGTTGGCTATGTCAGGTTTTTCTGTTCTTCGGAGAGAACTTCTTTTGTGTTTGATCTAGCTCGGGAATGGCGTGGAGATTGTGCATGGAGGGGATGCCTGGTTACTCGGATCTGTACGTATACTTGAACATCGAGGTGGTCATTGGTCTAGTTCAATGAAGTCCTTTTCTGCGAAGTCAAGTCGTACTCTAAATCCTTTGAGTTGTGATTGTGAGCGGCATATCGATTGTAGTTGGTCATTCTCTCTCGAGTGTAGTGAGGTCGTCTTGTCTTTTGATGTTCGTCCTTGGTGTTGTATTCTGATCTATATATTGCATCATGTGATTTTACATTTTATAAAACTTTTATTAGTTTAATATTTTTTAATAATGATTTTAGTTAGTTGTTTTCACAAAAGCTTTTTGTTTTAGTTCGGTTATTTTGAAGAGTTACTCACCCTTGAGTAGCTCTTATTAAAAATAAAGGTGTGGTCACAAAGCGTGGATGTAGCACGGTGGGTTAGGCCGGCTATAGAGCATGCTCAGGACGTCCTTTCCTGGTGGGTTAGGCCAGGTGTGGGAGTATGATTTCATGCGGTTTTTATGAGGGGTCCTGTTATGTGACAACATTTTATGTTGGGTTTGTTGTGGTTTTACTTATGTTTTGTTGGTTATGTACTTTTTCCAAAAAGCAAATTGTTTGTGGTATGGGTTTGTCTTTTGACTTTTTTGTGTTTTATTATTTCTTTCTAAGACTTTGTAATAGTCTTCAAAAGAATAAATTATCCAGTTTTAAACTGGGTTAATCCGGTTTGGGTACCGTTGGTTTCCTTTTCTTAGTCATGCTGTTATTTTATGATTTGTGGTATTTAGTAAGCTGCGTTGGTTAGTTTTGTTTAGTATATGATTCCTTTCCAACCGGGTTAAAGGAAAGTTTGAAACTTGTTATTATTTGTTAGAGTTGTTGAGTGTGAAAACTTGAAACTGAAATTCATTATTTTAAACAATTCTTCGTGGGCGAGCTGTGCGAGTGTGGATAGAATTTCTGTGCGAATGAATGAAAATATCAAAAGGTTAGTACTGCAATTGCATTTTATTAATTTACTGCATAGAATTTGGAAATTTACTGCTAGTAATGGGGGAATTTTAAGATACAAATTTTCATCATATGTAGATTTACTGCTTGTAGGGGAAAATTTTATAAATTAATTTACTGCATTGGTATTATATTTATTTAATTGTTGGTGCAAAAGTTAAATAGGGTTTTAAATAGTTTTGAAGAAGTTTGCTATTTTTTATTTTTCTTTTGTGAATTTTTCAGATGATTGAAGATGAAGGCTAAAAATCTAAAGAAAACATGAATAAGGAATGGTGAGTTTTTCAATATTTTAATTAGTTAGTAATATTCATTTAGTTCATACTTACCTGTTAGTCGTCGGGGAAAAAACCGTGGGGGAAGATATCGTGAATTAGTTCTGAAGTTGTTAGTAGTTTAGCTAAGATGCGGATGATATTTTTAGTTTGAAGTAGTGGCCAAAGCAATTGAAGTGCCTTAATAGTGGTTAGTTCTTCAGTGCCTACTGCAAACTCATAAGGTGTGTTTTGGATTAAGTTATATAACTTGTGGTTAAATTTAGTGTTGTGGATGAATTCTAAAATGGGGATTTCTATAGGCTGTACAAACTCGTGCGGGATAAGGAAGGGTCGGGATTCTTCTGCGTTGAAGGTCTTGGTGATGGGGCAGAAAATATACATTTGGGTTATGGGGTCATAATTACGAAGAATACCATGAAGGTTAGTATTTTTAATACAATATGTGAAATTTAGGAAATACGGTGAAGTGTATTTTGAATTGATGAATTGAAAGCGATGGTGTGGTTGTCTAGAGGGTGTGTGGAGGTCAAAGTGATTTTGGATGAAACGATAGTAACTGTATGTATGTGTTTGTTTAGTTCGCAACATAATATCGTGTGAGCAGTGTAAATCTCTTTCGTGTGGTGCAAGGAAATGAAAGGTTAGTGAAAAGATTTGGAAGCGTTCTTTAAAACTTTCGTACGCTTGTGTGCTTGTTAGTGCTTCTGAAATAATGTGATCAAACTTTCGGTCGAAGATGTTTAGTGTAAATACATATGGTGTCTTGATGAAAAATTTCTCGGTGATTTGTGGGTTAGCGAAGCGATCGTCGTCTAAGAATTGATCTTGGTTAGCTCTGATGATGTTGTGATCATAGTATTCTAGTGTGTATTCGTTAGCTCTAGGTGCAGTGTGTATTTTTAGTGATTTTTTATATCCAACGTAAGTAAATTGTCTAGCGGTGAGTGGTGTAGTTAGTCGATATAGCATGTCTTTGTTTCGGTCTATCTCAATGGATGTGTTAGTTAAAGGTAAGCAAAGAGGGTTAGTGAAATGATAGTATGAGGTCCAAGAGAGAGTGGGCATTAAAACGTATTCGTCTACAAAGTTGCGTGTTTCGTTAGCGTCATGAGGGGTGTTTAAGGTGTATTGTGGAAATGAGGGTAAAGTGATGGCTAAAAATTCTCTAGTGTTAGTATGTTGGGGGTGGTTGATGTATTCTCGGGCTGTTCCTGGTTTTGCTGGGAAAGGATGGTTGGGGAACTTTCTTTTAAAAGTGCGATAAGCTCTATTAGTGTTGAGTGAGGATTCAGTTGATGTGGATGATGGTGCTAATGATTCGGTATAATTTGAAGAGGGTGTAGGGGGATTGGATGAATTTGTAGTGGAGGAGATTTGGTTTATGGTCGGGGTGTTAAGGTGGTAGGGTTGTTGTTGGAGGGTAATAAAATTGTCTAGCTCTGGGGAGATTCGGGGGGTGTCTGGAGATGATTGGTCAGAATGGTATGAGGAGTAGGTTGGGGTAACTTGGGAAGCATAAGAGGGTGTAGGAGTGATTGGGTCAGGGTTATTTGATAATATGGGTTGAAAAGGAGGTTGAGAAAAATGAGAAGGGTTATGAAAATTATTGGATGGAGATGGTTCTGAGTCGGCAAATTCGTCGGGGGTTTCAATATTCGGGTTATTTAGCTGTGAAATGGAGTATAAAACTGAAATTTGTGAGTTAGTGTCGGAATTCATGCCTGATGTTACATTGCTAGATGGAAAATCGGGTGGCGGAAAAGCAAAAAGTGGTATTATTGGGATTGAAGAGGTAAGGTTGGTTGGATGGGAATTTGATCGATGGAGTGATCCAAGTTGGCGGCTCATCGTGGGCTAAAAAAATTATTATTTTGAGATTGAAAAGCGGTGGTATGGGGCTGTTCAATAATTTGTTCATAAGTATTATCATCTTGTGGTGGATGTGTCATTATATGTTGGACGGGACTTTGTGATGTGGTGAGTCGAAAATTTGGATTATGTGTGATTGCTAAATTTCTAAAATTTCGCGGGGCTAGGGATAGTGGATGGTTATTTGGTAGGGGTGGTAATTGTGGTGCCGTTGGCTGTGTGTCGACATTGTTATGTTCTTCGTCGTATGTATTTTGTCGTGTTGTTATTTTTGTGTTATATTCTTTTATTTGTGCGTCTAAAAGAATTTTGTTTATAGATGTGGAAAAAATTCCAAAAAATCCTGCAAAGAGTATGCGTGCTACGCTTGCTTGTCTGTTTACTTGTGTGTGTATAGCACATGTATTGTAGATTCCTTTTAAGAGTGAGAAAAGAAATCCAATAAAGTTAAAC